AGCTGAAAGTGTGCCCCCAGCCACATCCAAGCACGTCATCCATCTCATTTTCTTTGCCAGCACTAGATGCCATTTAATTATTTCCTTTTAATTTTCAGCTGAAGCTGCCCTGAGAAGACTATCATTTATGTGATCACATGTACAATGTGACAAACCACCAAAGCAATTGAGCCTTCTGGTCCTGGGAGGAGGGTGGGCTCAGGAAGACGAGGGTCAGCATCCCACGGTGACCCAAGGATTGGCTTAAAGTTGCAGTGTGTTCCTTGGAGCGGGAGCAACCACCCAACTTCAATTGATTTGGTGAATCAGTCCCGACCTCTGGGGCAGCTGCTGCTGTGTGAATATATGCTCATGAACGCTGTAAATTTATTGTCCTATTTATTGTCGCTTTACTCCTAAACTCCAGCTTCACTTGCCGCCGCAGCCAGCACTTTCCAACGTGCCTGCCTGGAGTTAAGATCTTGAACCCACGGTTAAGCACCTTGGCAAACACAGTCTGCGGGTTTGCGCACCCTCTATCTGAGCTTTTGCATGCAGAACACCCTGTTAATAATTATCTGCAGCATGGGATTTGGCATCTCTGTCTCTCTGGCTGTGAACCCCTGAGTGTTTCCCAAGTAGCTCTGCAACCAGGGTGGCTTAGGGTCAGGGCTATGGTCAAAAATGTGAAGATGCTTTGCCCTGTGCTGGCAGGCAAAAGTGCTCATAGGTTGCATGGAGGTAGGTGTGGGAGCATCCCTGGTGGACACTGCAGCTGTGCCCGGATCCTGCAGCCTCCAGCGTCTTCTCCTGCTGCAGCCAGGAGTCAATAATCCAGACTGCTTGGACACTGCCAATGCAGATGTCTGTTAGCAGCTAAATACCCGCCAATCTTCCCTCCCTGCAGCACCACCGCTGAATGAAAAATACCTCTCTCAATGAGCTAAATCTCTTTAATTTTTAGCATTGCAGCTCTAAAATGACAGGTGCTGTGCGTGTGTGTGTGGATTAAGGGCATGCTCCTGGGCAAAGGTCTCCTGCAAACTCCTTAGGGCCAGCTGGCTGCAGGCTCTGATCCATGGGGTCACACACTCCCCCATGAAACAAAGGCTGCTTGTTCGGCACCACGGGCAGGGCTGGGCTTGGTGGAGGAGGCAGC